ATGGCCGGTTCCCTTTGCATTGCCACCCTCACGTGTCATTAAACATGATGTGGATTTCTATATTCCCATCATGGGTATAACTTCACAACGACTGGACCATTTGGGCTGAAAATTTGCATAACTATAGTTCCCTATTTTTCATAATTTCCGTGTAAATTTCGTTGTATGTTGTAATTATGGATCCTATGCAAACATCGTCCTTTCCCTGAGCTCGGACTTTGGATGTCGCTATTCCCATTATTGGATATCTCATTAATGCATGATCCTTTTGTTATGAAAATTTGGATGGATTAAGATTAGATCCCTTCCTTTCTAATGGGCTATTAAGCTTGTCTCGGTCGTTACTGGTTAGTCTTCGCGCTTGCTTTTTAAACATTGTCCTCATTTTGCAGGAGTTTTAGTCATATCTCCGTTGTTTATGGGTAGTTTTCCCTGTAATTACTCTCATTGGGTCCGTTTGGGAAACATATTCATTTCCTATTATAAACACGACTTTGAATTTTGCATTAGTTCCTGAGGAATCCTTGTTCCGTGGTACTTCCATCCTTGGCTACGTGTGCAGACATGGGAAAGTAGTTTCCATGGAGGTTCTCTGATTGTTGCTATAGTCAAATCTTGGTCGATTGTCCTAATTCTTTCTTTAGTATTTGGTATAAATTCCCCCGAGAATTCCGTCTTGTTGATGCTAAGCTTGAAGTATTTTTGCTAATTTTCTTTCTTTCAATTTATCACATATAGTCATAATAATTCGTAAAAATTCGTAAAAATTCATTAAAATTCAGGTCCTTCTATTTTCTCATATCTACTTGTCGTATGGGGTTTTGTGATTTATCTGGCATATTTCCATAATGGGTTTCCATAGTGTGACCGTTATTTCTCCTACAGCGCCTGTCAACATTCATTTACCATTGGCTGCATTGTATCCGGCTATACGCTGCATGTCACAGTTTATTCACAAGCTGACATGACTGGGGTATTCCCCTGGTGTTTTAGTACCTCTGCTGCCATGGTCCTGGGCGCTCCCTGGGCACCTAACCCATCATCTTCCTGCATCTGTCTGAGGCAATCATTCCTGTGCCAGCACACCATGCTCCTGTTGCCACCTCGAAGATCGATGGGCTGCTCCTTTCCTCCAATGCATGCTGTGCGCTGCATTGGCTCCAACATTGATGTGCCCTGCGACACTTCCCTCCAATCCGATTGCATTTCCGCTTTCGGTGTCGATACACTCATCAATGCCTCACCTCCGCTTCTGCCTCCACTGGCCCCCCCATTCCTACATCCTTCCTGCCACTGTGCCCACAAACTCCCATGGATTCTGCATGTCACCGAGTCTGTGCGCGCTCTTGGTCTCCAAGCACCTGTGTCAATCTTGGTCCATTCCCTCCGGAGTTATTTGAGAAAACCTATTGGTTGCTCTAAGGGGAGAACCTATAGGTTGTTCTAAGGGGAGAGTGTAAGGGATGAACAGAGATGGGATGATGCACGCTTTGCGCGCATTTCCCTTATTCTTTATTTCTTAATATTCCTTGTAATAAACAATGTATAACAACTGTATATACATATATAGTGTCCGGGGTTGGGAAAAGGAGCTTAGCTCTTCTCCTCCCCCCCTGTCAAATACTAGCTTCATACAGTCTAAGTGATCGACAGCCTGAGGATTGAGGAGTCACCGAGGCCGGCACCCCAACCAGCCTTACAGGAATGGTGCCAACATGGTCTTGGTTCATAACCCACCTCCAATCAATCTTCGCTAACGACAATGTCAGTGGCCATTCTCTGTGATCGGGTGGGGCAACTGCACTGGCCCTTGCTGGAACTCCACTCACTCGCATCCAAGCAATTGGGCGTTGGTCTTCAGACACCTTCTTGATTTATGTGTGGCAAAACCCTATCCTGATCCAAGGGACACTGTTGGGAACATCAGCTTTTGATGGTGGTGCCAGTTGATTAATTGTCCGGCTATGCTCAGAGAATTTAGTTGTATGTGCTTCATCATTATCTTCTCCACCACCATCCGCCCTCACCTCCACCATTGGTAGATTGAAAGGATATGGGTCACGCATCACATGCATGCTGCCAATTCCACCTGGCCCTTTGTGGCTGTTTCCTGCTACCAATGCCTGATAGCCCTGATAGTTGTTGTTTAATGTCTCCATTTCACAAGACTAATCATGGGATAGCAACTTACCATCAGCTGATCTCAGGTTCCCACTTCTGCTTGCCACTAGCTGGGAAACCTGGCTGCACCCTGTCAGGACCGTTTTGGCATTCACATGCCTCCCAGCACTGATTGCAGTGATCTCTTGTGATTTCTCATGCAACTTAGCCTGAATGGGTCAGGGGACACTGCCTCAGATGTATGCTGGATGTTTCGGCACAGATGTGCGAAGTGGACCATTCAGTGGAGGTATGTACTGAACTTTCACTATTGAGGAGAGCACTCATTTGCTTTGGCCATGCTTATAAAGGGACCCTGATGGCCCCCCTTTCTCCTCCCCCTATCACCTGGTATCTCATGCTCCCTCGGTGAGTGAGATCCAACTTGCCACCTGTTTTTTCCAGGCTTACTCCTTTGACCCACTGCCACTGCCGCTACATCAGCAAAAAATTGTTATGCTCCTGAGTGCTCTGGAGTATGGGGAGCACTGGGAGAATCAGGAGGAGATTGGCCGGTCCAGGAACAGCTCATTTCCTCCGGAGTTGGTCAGGTACTCCAGGGCACTCCCAGGAGGGCATGGAGCATTGCTTTGTGCACAAACATATCCAGTAAATACAATTTAATGCTTCAAAATGTATAGGGGTGAGAAGCTTCGGGGAGCTCCTGGAGCATTTGAAAATGAAAAGGAAAAAAAAGAGGGAAGACTCCCCATGAATACCTCCTACCACAAGACTAACACCACAAGACACTACTTAACATTTAGGTCAAACACTATACTATACATCAAGGACACTGAGACTCACCAATACACAGTCAAAATTTATGGCCTGATATATGATTAATCTGGCAACTTAATCACTTTCAGACTTGCAGAATATGGAGGAAGGGGAAATGGGGGAGAATGAGGGGGGAAATGAGGGGGGAAATGAGGGGGGAAATGAGGGGGAGAATGAGGGGGGAATATAGAGGGAAATGAGGAAAATTTGAAAAATAGGGACTTCTAAAAAGTTGAAAAAATAATTAGGGAAAAATCAAAAAAAAATTCAGGAACTGTAGTGCCTTTGAAGTGCTTTCAGGATATATAATTATTTGCAAAATTGAGGAAGAAATGATGGAGAAAAATGGAAAATACTTTCAGAGACCCGAGAAATAATGAGAACTGAATTGATGGGAAAGTCTGAAAATTGAATAGGAAAGTGAGGGGAAGCCTTGTAGCATTGTTATTTTCTGCTGTTGTGATTTTTCCCGATTCTTCTTGGTCTCATTCCCAGCTGCTCCTCAATACTCCTGGAAGCTCCTGAAAGCTCCTGGGAGGGTCCAGGAGCAGCTGGGAGTGAGACCAAGAACAATCAGGAAAAATCACAACAGCAGAAAATAACAACAGCAGAAAATAACAATGCTACAAGGCTTCCCCTCACTTTCCTATTCAATTTTCAGACTTTCCCATCAATTCAGTTCTCATTACTTCTTGGGTCTCCGAAAGTATTTTCCATTTTTCTCCATCATTTCTTCCTCAATTTCGCAAATAATTATATGTCTTGAAAGCACTTTAAAGGCACTATAGTTCCTGAATTTTTTTGAATTTTTTCCCTAAATTTTTTTTTTCGACTTTTTAGAGACCAAAATTTTCCTCCCACTGCTCCTGGCACATTGCATACTCCTCACCACTCCCAGCCGCTCCTGAACCCCCTCCCAGGAGAACACTATTGGCTCCAGGAGTGCCCAATCTGCTGTTTTGTCTCCCACATGCTCCAGCCACTCCTGATGCTCCGGAGCATAACGGACTTTTGTTGATGTACCGACACTCTGTTCTCCCTGAACTTGCTACTGCCAACACTTTTTGCGGTGTGACTTCACTCCCATTTGCCTCAGCTTTCAGCCCTTGCCTTTTCTTGTCTCCCACCTCCTCCCTGACACTCCTCCTTTTGGTACATTTTTTTTTTTTTGGTACATCTTTTTACATCATCTTTGTACATTAGCTCTGTGCTGTATTTTGTTTTTGATGTTTATCTTTTTACATTGTCTTTGTACATTAGCTCTGTGTTGTATTTTGTTTTTTATGTTTCACTACTTCCGACTTGACCCTTATTGTCACTCCCATTAACCTTCATCTGTTTTCTTTTTCCTCTTTGTATGTACGAGCACGGGTCCGGGTCATGCATCATGCACATGCTGCCAATTCCACCTGACCCTTTGTGGCCGTTTCCCGCTACCAATGCCTGATAGCCCTGATTAGTTGTATATTACCTTACAGCTATTGTCACTAGATAATATATTAGTTCTCCCACATATTGCTTGAGACTGAGCTATTGTCACTAGAGCAAGCAGTTATTCCGTTATTTTATACCTGACTTATGGTCACCGATGAGAAGGCTGCCAATGTCAGATCTCATCAGCTTGTGCTTCGCATAAACAACAACAACAACAACAACAAACACGGTTGTTGCACATGGGACGGTCTAAGCACTCAATGCCGGGACCCCAGCTGAGCTGGCAACAGATATGGTTACATTGGTTTTATATTGGCCTCTATTTTTGCCCAAATTAACTACCATTTTTGGATTTCCACATGATCCGACTAACTCATTTAGCCAAATTTGACGCGTCAATCTTTTTGCACCTTGCTTTGTAATAGACAACTGCATGTAATACATTTCTGCTAGCACGTGTGGATGAAGGAAAGTGAAAATTCCCACGAATTCCTGACTCGAAGGTGAAAGGTAATAGCGATGGTTCCTTCTTTTCCATGAACGACTTGCTGTGGCGATAAATTTCAGGCAGGCTATTTCTTCATCCCATGAAAACCAAGGGCATGGGGAAACTTCACTTTGGATTGGACGGGTTTTGATCTACATCTACTATGAAACCTCTTGTTTTTACTGGAAACTGAAACTGAAACTGAAACACTGCTCGGCCGGCGAGATACTTGTTTAATTCTCACAGAGGTCCCCATAGCACAATAGGTGGTCTTGCCATTCGCAAAAGGGGCCAATGTCGAAGCGCGCCGAGGATCTCCTGGCCTCAGTCCGAAGACAGATTCCGGAGTCTCCGCCCGTGGACGTCCATTGATAATCGGTAATTGTAACAATAGTACGGCAGATCGGGCCCGTCATTGAGGTCGACCCCCATTGAAAGGCCTGGCTGTCGTAGTTCGTTGCAGTACTAAGGTCATCTGTTGTGCAAGCATTGGTTACGCGGGACCAAATTTCATTTCAGGTTTCGGCTCACTGCTGCTAGAGGGGACCATAGCCCCATAAGAATATCCCTTACAATTGACCCGGCCAACATAGAAACTAGCTGCCACGATGGGAACTAGAGCGAGTGGCGCGAAGAGGATCCAGAGTCGCATTGCGGCTTTTTAGATATCGCTACTACTGGCACGTAATGTTCATGGCATGAGTGACTTCACATAGTTAATGTTAATCAGGGGGGGACTAACTTCAGTCTTGAGCGCGTGTGGTCAGAGGACTGAGGAGGGAGGAAAGCAGAACATCAGGCTTTATGTAGGCAATTCCAGTATCCTAAACTAGAAAGATTGCTTCGCAACCATGATCTTGCTGGCACACCACGCGAACATTGCTGACCACGAGGCCAGCTATCGGAGTTGGCTTTATTGATTTACAGCGACCGTCAAAAAATTGGCGCATCAGAGTTTTTTTTTTTTTTTCTCCTTTTTTTTCTTTTTTTTTGGTGGAACCCCACGTAGCTTTCGCGAGGTACTAGGTACCTGGGGGTTTATGGGCAGGAGCTGTGCTCCTGGGTTATGATGTAAGGTGGTTGTCGTTGAGTGGTTCCGGACAGAGTTTTTTTTCGGTGGAACCTTCGGTAGCTTATCGCGGGTAGGGGTGCCGGAAGGTTTGTGAGGAAGAGGAAGGGTGAGGCCTTCCAACGATCGTCGTGTGCCTATGTAAGGAGGGATACCACATTTATTACATATTGAATTATCACGCGACCACATGCATGCCGGTTGCCGGAAAGTGACCTTGCAGGCAAGATATGCGCCGATTTAACCCGACCGGATCCAAAGTGCCCCGTTCGGCGAACACCGCAGTCCGTTTCCGTCCGTCCACCCTTTTCTTACAATTCAGTAGACCAGACATTCAGTAAGTAGAGGCTGGTGATAGGATCGGACTCACCTTGGTCAGCCGATATGTTGAGCTATGCTGAAGGATAAATTCCTGATATTTCTGTGATATTGCTAGCCAGAATGTTTTACTTTTCCACGAGGAGCCGTTCAGGATACTGGAATTGCCTAGTACATAAAGTCTGATGTTCTGCTCTCCTCCCTCAGTCCTCCGACCACACGCTCTCGAGACTGAAGTTAGTTCTTATTGATTAGCATTAACTATGCGCAGTTACTTATGCCATTCCCTGTTCATTACGTGCCAATAGCAGCGATATCTAAGAAGCCACAATGCGACTCTGGATCCTCTTCGCGCCAATCGCTCTAGTTCCCATCGTGGCAGCTGATTTCTACGGTGGCCAGGTCACTTGCAACGAAATGCCTTTCGGGGCTATGGTCCCCTATGATGGCAACGGTGAGCCGAAGCCTGAAATAAAATTTGAATCTGTGCAACCAATGCTTGCGCAACAGATCAATATCGTCATGCAATGGAGTACGACACCAAAGCCTTTGTATGGGGATCACCCTCAATGACCGGCCCGATCTGCAATACTACAGTTACAATTCATGGTTTGCAATGGACGGCCGCGAACGATGACTCCGGGGACTGTTATCCGACTCGACGTGCCGGGAGATTCTCGAGGGTCTCTGAAGGTTCGTGCAAATGGCAAGACTACATAGTGTGCTCTTCGCCCATATGCGAGAATTAAACGGGTACCTTGCCGGCCGAGTAGTGCTTCAGTTTCAGTTTCCGGCCAAGGTCTCATTGTAGATCGAAACCCGTCCAATCCAAATTGAAGTTCCCCCATGCCCTTGTTTTTCAGAGTACGCAAGAGCAATTACCTGCTCAGGGACGATGAGATGAAGTAGCCTGCCTGAAATTTAATTTATGGGCACAGCAAGTCTTTCATGGAAAAGAAAGAACCGTCGCTATACGCTACATCACGCGCGTACAGCCCCCCATTGCAGCGACGGCTCGATGTATGCATATGCAAACTCTCACTTCCTGCATGCCACCCTTACTAGCACGAAGCCCATCCTGAAACACTTTTCCTCAACCTGAATAATGGAGGTCCCCTGGGAGCTCACCCATGGACGCTAACATGGCATCCCTAGCCCAACCTAGAGTTCCGTAAGATCCTTTTGAGTTTGACTTGTGACGGTTGTCATTCCATGGATGATCCTCCACCGAACTTGAGCGTTGTTAACGAAACGAATATGAGAGTTACAGCTACCATGACACAAAGGTTGCTCATAAGACCCTTATGTTGAGAGTTGATCGTCCCTCGGATGAATCTGTAGAGTGAAAAACATTAATTGCGCGTATTGATCTTGATTGTATGTCCTTCCTAAATTACCAATCAAAAATCAACACGCTGAACACACCATAAACTGATCCGGATGTATGCATGGCTAGCGCCGCATCGTCCGCCAGGCCATCTTGGCGGGTCTGTAAAGGTCATATGGGATCAGAAACAGCAATTTGCTTCTGATGGATAATACCCTCGGATCCAGTTGCCAACATTAAAATATATACTGTTGGAGCCCTGTTACCCAAAAGATCGTGTGCATCAGTCACGATATAAGTGATAAGTCAAGCGCCGGATAAAGTATATGAACTTGATCATTCAATGTCTGATAACTCTCGCGAGTGGGTCGTCAGTGGCCAATATGAACGATTATCATGGATCCAATTAGTCGATTGCAATCATCTGACAAAGATGGTCAAACGTGCATGACCGGGTCAGAAGGGGAGAGGGAAATGGAATGAGGGTGAGCAGAACATTTCAAGGGCGTTCATTAGTAGGGGCCACGCGCAAACGGTCTGTCATGCGAGCCTCATACTCGAAGTTGATCCGGTGTTGATTCACAGAGCTATGTAGACACTGCGGTGATTTGTCATTCAGAAGCGGCACATTAATGTTCCAGTATGCTTGGAAAGTACCCGAACAGCATCGGAGATTGAAACCAAGACTGACCATCATGCGACCGGCAAATGCACCGCACAAGGGATATCCTGTCCGGTCTGTTGTTCGCTTTCACAATTGGACCAACTGGCATCAGTCCATGCCGGTCCACTCAAAGCAGCGAACGACCTTCAGATTTCTACCGGGCCACTTTCGTACATTCGGCATTAAGAGCTGGGGGAATACGGCAGATCGATTTAGCCTTGTGAGCTTGGTACCGCGGCGGACGGGGGATTGCAATGAACGAGCCTTCCCCTTTCACCACAATCCCTGTACCGCTGCGCACATAGGCCCATCCTGTCGTCCATAGCACTCCAATGTACGAGCGGTGCACAAACATGATAATCTGGGTATACGTGTGAAAGGCCCGGTACATTCAGGACGGAGCTGGTGGTATGACGACGATTCCTCATTCACTTTAAAGGCATTTACATAGATATGAGTGAGTTGATACAGGCTGCAGCGCCAAGGCTAGATGTTTCTCAGAAACATCCAACGTTGGGTGAGCAAACTCCAAGACAAACACATTCTTCAATGATGGGTCTCAGGGCTCAACATGGAAACCAGGACATGGGAACCAGGTTTGCGCTATAAACTACTGGGGCCGCGGGTTGATGGTGCTAAACATAATGTCGGGTGAGCGACAACCAGTTTGCGACTTCCGTGAACGACCAACAAGAAGATAGTATGTCGGTGCTGGGAGTGGAAATAGATGTAGAGGATCGGACGTGGATGCGCTAGGGCGATCACGGTCCACCGCTAGGCCTGAGGCCCTAACAAAACATGAAGCTGCAGCACATGCCAATGGGTTCAACAACGTGTGGCGCAACAGAGCGAGATGATAGCTAGTCGTGTATTCCCTCCCCAGCCCACAAATCGTGGGGTAAACCCAGATGAGCCTAGACCTTAAGCTAGAAGGGCATCCGGGGTTTCCGCACCATTGGGTAGGAGAACCCGGACCGGTGGGGGTGAGTGATAGTGAAACCAGCTTAGCTTTGTACATAATCATAATTCAAATAACGCGAGGTTATCAGGTAAGCTTTCCAAGAACACCTTGGAATTCTGAAGAATGACGTCAGGTTGTTGTCGGACGACTGAGTAGAGAAGACCCTTGAACCATGCAGAGATGAGGTTTAATCCCTATGTGCATGTGGTGGTACTCGTTCACCGTGGTACGTACGGCAGTGCTTAATGTAGTACTCTCTACTCTCTGGCATCTCCACGGAGATTTGCGTGCGGTGGGAATGAGGTTCATCGCGATTGCGTCAGTACAACTTCTATCGATGGGTCGGGCATTCTTCTCCCTACCTTCTTGTTGGTCCCGGTCCATACTCCGTTCTTTGTTTTTGTCTTGAGCGTTGGATGGGGTTCAGACTGACCTTGGTTGTTATGCGTGGCCGAATTAAGTAATTGGATTGCATTGTCAAGCGCCCGGTATGAATCAATGATCGACTTACCGAATTATGTAAGTGATTTAGTGCGAATTCAGGGAACTTACTCCGAGGTGGCGACGGCGATCTGTCCAGTATGGGACGCAGAGGAAAATGGAATGGCTTTCAACTCGGACAACGTCTCCATTGCTATTTTGCTTTTATTTTTATATATTTATCCCGAGACCCCGCTCTTGGCACTCTCACACTGACAGGCGGCAAGCCAGGAAAACATTTTTAAAACATCTTGCAAGCATCGCCCTCGTCTTGCTTGCTGAGAACCGTCTGCAGACAACAGGATCCAGACACTGTCACTTTCTGTCGCTTGGAGCTGGTCATGACGTCGCCACTAGGCAAGGGTGCAACAGACTTCCCACCTGGCGCATCAAGTGGATGGCTTCCGTCCCCTAATCCAAGACAATCTCAAAACTACTTTGACGCATCCGAGTATCCTTTCGACACACACTCACCCACTAGCCAACCGCTGCTTAGTGCTCGGAATTCTTTTGCCTCCATCCTCAGGCCAAAAACGTACGGGTTCGGCTACCTGCCGTTCACCGACACTCCTGAGCAAGACAATGGAAGATCGCCCCCAAGTACGGAGTCGATATGGTCGTCGGGCGGGGCGTACGGGTCTGGAGATGTGGAACGGCGTGGGAGGAGAGTTCGCCCGAAAAATCACCCACTGATGTCCATGATGGATTGTGTTGGCGATCCTCAAAGTCCATATCGTAAGCCAATTTGTTTCAAGTCTCGTTTCCATGTTATGTGCATTTATTGATTCTTTTCGCCGAGATAGAACGTGCCAAACTGGGTGGGGGAGGATCTTCGTCTCGTCCATCCTCCGATACTGACGCCACTTTTGTGCGCTAAAAGTCGATAATAATGGAGGGCAATACGAGAGACTGCGAAAGTCTCCCGAAGAAATCAAAGGGATTAAACACAGGGATGTGCGGGGATTCTATGAGCGACAAAATATGCTGCTGGTTAGTTGTTACCCTACTTATATTCTCAGTCATATACTCGTAAATTAATCTATGGTTTCTTAGGACAGCTTCGAAGAAGGTATTGAGTATTGTTTACCTCCACAGTACGAATGCTTGACACCCAGCATACTTTCATGACAGTCGATACGCTGCTCGATTCCGTCCCGAGGCGTGCACCGGAGACAAACGGGGAAACCACGTCTCTATTACCTCAATACCACCCTACCGAAAACACTAGGGACGCTAAGGATGCTCGATTTGTCAGGTGGACGATTCACGTGAATCTGATCATTGTACGCCTAAGCCAATTATTTCCTTTCGCTCCATCCTCCTCCGGCCTTCAACCTAAAAAATGGTTTCTTCTCCCATCGATCTATCCATCCAGAACATCATTTTATTCCTTGGGAAGCTGTCTGTCGTTCTCATATCAAGCTCAATTTCCCTACTCGCTTCTGCTACCGATTCCGGCATGGACTTGTTGTCGACGTTGATCCTATTCTGGGCCTCATGGACCATCTCAAGCAACGATTGGCGAAGAAAGTGGATGTTTCCCGTAGGTCTGAGACGAGCGGAACCGATGGGTGTCGTTGTGTTCAGTGGTGAGTTTATTTTTCCGCTTGAATAATTAGGGTTCACTAATAAATCGACGATACCTTTCCAATTGTGCAGTGTTCATGATCTCGAGGTAGGAGGCTCGCGAAAGGACGGGCAGTTTGTTGCTCCAACGATCGAACAAAAACCCCCTCTTGGCATCTGCAGTCTCTGATACAATCTTTTGGTTCTCTCTCTTCTAGCTTCGTTCAGGTGTCCATCGAATCATGCAAAAGACTATTATCGAACGATGCCGAAGTTGTAGCATTGCCGCTAGAAGGCGTTATCATCATGGTCATTACGATCGTGGTGAAATTTGGTGTATGGCAAAGTAGTCAAGGATCCAAGAGTTCAACGATTAGGGGTGGGTGACTGGAAGTTCTTTAGAAGGGCTCTCCAATTGTGTTTTTGGTAGAAACGTGAATGGTCACTAACCGACATCTCTTCTTCTTCACTACGGGTCTGTTCTGATTCCAGCTCTCTCCCAAGATGCTGAGAACGACGTTAGTGTTTTTATTATTATTTCTCTTCTCTTTTGTACTTAGCGCTTCAGTGCCATGTCCGAGTTCTTTTTTTTTTTATAACCTCCCAATGCATTGTGACATTCATCCACTTACCACTGCCACAACTCCCCTTATACTATATAGGTCTTTTTCAATACGGTTTCTTTATTGTTCCCTTTCATCGGTCACAAACTGGGCATCTGGTGGTTGGACCCTCTCGGTGGCGTTGCCTTATCGTTGTACAGTAAGTATGCGTTTCCCCCTGCTCTCCCCACCCCATTGGCACCACCACTACCCCGAACATTGCCCTATTCCGTCCAACATTGGACTCGGCATTGTGGTGGATGCGTCGATGTTATACGTCGCGTAATGGTAAACTTCCCAGTGCAATCGCATCTCGTTTAAAGGAAGATGGGTGACTTTCTCGATGCTGGTATGCCCTATATACTGGGAGGATGATTACTTCGCCACCGAGACGTGTCCGCAGGTGTGCCAATGCAACAGTATAGGGTTCAGATGCATGGCGTACTTCCGCCCCACCAAGAGCATTCGTAGATTCATCATTTCGTTGGCCCCTGACCCCTGACTTTCCACGCTATCTACATAGTTATCGTTGAATGGATCGAGACCCTTCGGTCAAATATTCGAAATCTGATGGGAGTCAAGGCTAGTGCGGATGAATACCAGGTAAGAGTTCGTTCTCCTGTTGGAAGTCAATCACTTTTTATATTCGCAATGGGCGTGAGGTTTCGCGCCGTCATCTGGTTCGTACCTTCGTGCTCCACTGCGGGCGGAAAAAAAATGTTTTGTCGCTCCACATTCATCCCTGTGTCACCCTGTCTGTCTAGCTCTTATCAATACCCCCATTATCATCCCTGACAGTCGGAAACTAACATACGTTCTCCCACCTTGTGCCTCGATCTTGGACCATATCCCATATATTGTGCGGTCATTCCGGAATAACGAATTCAGCGAGTGGCATATCTCATCATGCGATTTTCGCCATGCATCGATGCCGTGCAACACTTGGATGTTTATTCGAGTGGTGACCAGTTCATGGTCGAAGCTGATTTAGTTCTTCCGGCGGTACGTGCCGGGGACCTGTAAGGATGCGAATCTAGTACTGATCTACATCGTTCTCGTTCCGGCACTGACATGCGCGCGACTCCAGGATACGACGTTTCCGATGGCACACTATATTGGAGAGAGTGTCCAATATGCTATCGAAAGGTACGTTGAACACTTCGTCCCAAAGAATTTTGCATCTCACGTCGATACATTCTTTTCGATCGGTCACACACCACCTGTTCACCGAAAACTGTTTAGTTTGTCTGGAATCGAGCGCGCTTGTGAGCTTCTCCGTGGTTCAATTCTCAGAAGGGAATATTTTTCGTCTCTGATGATCCATTGTTCTTCTAGATTGCCATATAGATTATAATTCGAACAACCCTTCCGGTCATCTGGTCCGGTAGTCGGACTATCGAGAAGCTTCTCTGTAATCGATCAGGATCGCGGGTGATTGTGTCGATCGCGATCACATAATTAGGCTCATACTTATACATGCATCGGCCATGTCCACCCACCCACCCACCCACACACTAGGCAGGACCCAGCTCTCCAGACTCACGCACGCTTGCTAAGTATTGCATCACATCATGTACGATCCGCAGGGAGCCTTTCGCCCTCGACGAATAGTCTATGTTGGAATTCCCGGCTGGCGCGCGGCAACATGAGAATGAACCGCCAACTGAGGGGGAAGACACGGCCATTGACTTAGAGATGAAAGTTGACCCCAAAACTAGTTGCGGGGATGGCTAATTTGTGGCTAATTCCTCAAGGCGGACTCATTCTGTAACGACAAACAACAATACATAAGCAAAACCTATCTATATTCATGGAGGCTGGAGTCTTCACTACTTAAACAGAATGGGGTGCTTGCCTCTTTTTGGCAATTTTTCAATTGTCGGCGATTACACCGATCAACCAGATACATATTGTACATAAGCTGCAGCCGTCAACCAGTGCTCGTCAGCGAACAACGTTTTTGTGTTGCATTTTTACTTAGCTTGAAATCTAAATCGATAAGACGCGGAATGAGCTGGGTGCTCACTCATCCGATTCTGGCTGCCCTCGGAGTGGCTGGTGGCATCGTAAGTCTTTTTTTCATGCTTCAGGCACTTTGGCATGGCTTCTGATTGCCCCCCCGCCAGATTACATATCATTTCGTCGCCTTTTTGCTCGACCCTTATCACTACAATGACGGTGTTAATGGTGTCGCTATTCCTGGTCCATTGCTTGCGAAACTCTCAAATTTCTGGCTCCTTCGGGTGGCCATCAAGGGGGACCGTTCGGGCGTGGTCCACGAGCTACACCAGAAGTACGGTAGGTTGTTTCTGCTCGTCGAAAGACTCTTAGGGTGCTGATTATTGTCATTACAGGCAAAGTAGTTCGCATTGCTCCCAACCATATCTCCATCGCCGATCCAGATGCCGCCCAGGAACTATATGCTGTGAGTAGCCCTGATTGCCAGAAACATCTTGATGCGAGGATGGTTTCTAGGCAAACGGCAGGTATGCGTCCGATCGCTCACGTTGGACCACCCCGTTATTTAACCCGTCAACAGCACAAAATCGGACTTCTACGACGCTTTCGTAGCAGTCCGCAGAGTACGTGCCCTCAACCCTAATATGCAATTCAAAAATGCCTCATGTTCAATTCATTGTTCAGGGTCTCTTCAATGTCAGGGATCCTGCAGAACACGCCCGGAAGCGCAAGATAATCTCTCGTATCTTTTCCCAGAAGGCCGTCCTTGAATTCGAACCATATGTACGCGACAAAGTGGCCAAGCTCCTTCGGAAATGGGATGGCATTTACCAAGATGCTGTTCTCAACGGGACGAATGTTGGGACTAAAGTCAAGGCGTCCGACGGCAAAGCGTGGTTTGATGTCTTGGAATGGTTTAATTTCCTCGCGTTTGATGTCATTGGTGACCTAGCATTCGGTGCACCGTTTGGCATGCTTGACTCTGGAAAGGATCTTGCACCAGTACATGAGTTGGGAAGCGAAAAATTAGAGTATCATCCTGCTATCAAGATCTTGGGCGACCGGGGGGTGTTTGCGAGTTCGCTTGGTGTCGTTCCAGCATGGCTCCGGTAAGTACATAATTACTGTGCCCCCGTTTTATGCTCTGATTGTGAGGACCATATCAGCCCTCTCGTCAAACAGCTTCCCCATTTCACCAAACGTAACGGTGCTGTGGGGAAGCTCACCGGCGTAAGAGTTTATATATATGTACATTCAATATTAAATGAACTCCAGAGCGATCAACAATAGATTGCTATCGCCGCCGTCGAGAAACGGCTTCAAGGACCAAGTGACCGAAATGACATCCTCTCCAAGCTCCTGAAGGGAACGGACAGATCCGGTAATCCTATGGGAAGGGAGGAGCTGATAGGTGAGGCTCATACACAACTGATTGGTGGTTCGGATACTACTTCCACGTACGTTCCTTCAAGCTGCCCTGGAAAAGTTGACTGACATGATTTCTCTCCAAGTTCCTCATGCGTCATTACCTACTACATTGCTATGAATCCTGGAGTTCAGCGTAAACTCCAGGCCGAGCTCGATGAGGCTTGGGTCCTAACTGGATTCCAACGGGCGCGGAGGACCTTCCAACATACGTATCATCTGTGGCGCCGTACGACCAGGTGAAAGCTCTTCCATATCTCGAGGCAGTTATTCAAGAAGGTTTACGTATTCACACGACGCTTGGTCTCGGGTTACCGAGAATTGTTCCTCAAGGTGGATTGACGATCGCAGGTCGGTATTACAAAGAGGGGAGTGTCCTTAGCGTCCCAAATTTCACGACCAATCGAGATCCTGATATTTGGGGTGCCGATGCCGATAAGTACCGGTTGGTGTCCTCTTTCCACTCTCAGCTAGCTTTCTGGCGAGACTCAAGTATGCGTGCGATAGGCCTGAGCGTTGGCTTGGGGATGACAAAGTGAAGATGCAGAAGGCATTCATTCCTTTCTCATGTGGACCGCGGTCGTGCGTTGGGAAGAACCTTGCAAATATGAATCTTCGTATCTTCATGGGCCACTATCTTCCATCGATATGAGATCTATCCTGTTTCGCAAAGCCTGACTGTGAGTTAGCTTTCTCTTGGCGATAGGTTAAACTGGTAGATGCCAATGCTCTTCTCACCCACAGCTGGAGTGCGAAGAAGGCGTGATTCGCAAACCGAAACATTGTGTACTTGGGATCAAACGCAGATTCTAGGTCTAGAGTACCAGGAATTACCCGAATGCGTGGTGTTGAATATACCAGATTTCAGGGCCAAGGGTCTGCGCCACATTGTTTCTGCGTGCTTACCAGGGTTCAGTTTGGCAATTGAACACTGGTATGGAACTGTACCACATTTAATGTATCTACTGTATCGCTAAGAACACGTTTGAGAAGCAGGAGTATATGTAATCCTGAGAAGAGTTGTGCCTGTAGAGTTTTTTTCGCCACATTTCCGAATTCCGGCCTAACAGGCGAGGGACGTGTCGCCTAGAAGGGGTGCCGCACCATCGAAAAGAGATCGATGTTTACAGTTATTTATGTCGAAGGCTTCACAATTCGCAACTTTCTCTGTTCCATCGTCATTCTGGGGAGGCTTTGTCTTGGGCGCCAATCTATGAAGAAACCACTCTCTCGCAGGAGGAAAAAACCGAAAGGAAGCTCTAGGGATCTCAGTGCAATGGCAAAGGATGGGAGCCGGCGTCAAGCTTTCTGAGACGCCCTACGATGTAGTTGTGCATGTTGCCTGCTTTCTTAGCGCCAGAGAAATCGCTCGGGTTTCTATGGTAGGCGTTTAACGCGGCTGTGTGCATTGAGCACTGACTGCCGATAGCATTTTGATCTCATTTCATCCTAGCTTTGCAGGAGTTCAAGTCGATCTATACGACAACAAGGTCGTGTGGGTGCGGGGCGCTTCAGCAATTCATAGACGAAGAGAACATAGCTAAGTTCTCATACGACCCTGAGAAAATGACGATAGGCGAGATTAAAAAAGTCCTGTCCGACCTTGGCGCTTGAGACAACGGTCATTGGCAATAAACCCTTTATGCTCTCTAGAAGGATTGTCGGATTGGATTACGGTCCGAGTCTGGGTCCTAAGCTGCAGTGGGGAAAGGATTATCATAGAACATCACTTTTGCTCCTGGGGGGCGCTGGCTTTTGACTACTGCCTGTGACGATCGGTCTCTGCACATTTTTTGCTGGGACCTGCATCAGAAAGCCGAGGGAAAACCTCTTGAGTACATGACTAGGACTTCCTTCGATGACTTTCTTGTCTTTCAAGATGGCCCCTCCTTGGGCCGCGTGGCGAAGGTGTTACACTCGAAGCTCAGTCAAGTGAGGAAGGAGAGGAGATTCGGTTATTGACGGTGTATGAAGGGGTAGTGAGGTTTGTTCTTCTCCATCGATGCTGAGATATTTACTTATTCCCTTTAAAAGCGGCCAGAGAAGTACAGTTTTCCATATGTCTACTATAAAGTGGCTCGAAGAAGACGGCGCAAGACCCACGATTACGCCTACGTTTTCCTTGACTCTCGACAATTCTGCTCAAATTGCACCCAGTTATGTCTTTGAAGGCGAGGTTGTGTGTGTGCATCAGCCTGTCTCGCCAAATATTATTGCATGGAACTGGAGGACTAACCATGTGGCTAACACACCAATACTCTGGGCTGTACGTTATTCCCACGTAGATATCTTTCTTCCACTGGCTGACCCACCTCGCCGCTCTTCTTCACGCAGGGAAGGTATATACATGGAAGTGTGATGCCACTCAAATTCTGGTTGCGACCGCCATACGCTATCATTGCCAACCCAACTTTGGACCGTTTCTCTTTCCTACAGTTACCTCTCCCTGAATACGAGAGTAGTCCACCCAGTTTTGAGATCGTAAAACCTAACACCCATTCAATCGTAAATAGTGATGGGGGTTCGGTTCGTGTCATTAGCCTTCTAGCAGAGACAGGACTTTGGAAGACGCTTCCAATGCGCGGGGACTCTTGGGTGTATTGTCGGACCCATGACAGCGAAGAAGATCATGGATATTCTGTAATCAGACCTGGACCGTTTGATGACTTGGTGAAAATACAAGAGTCAGCGGCG